TGGTGCCTGTAGCTCAAAGCACCAGCTAAAGCATAAAAAAAAAAAAAAGAAATTAAAAAAAAGTTAATAAGAATAACAGAATTATGTAAAAATTCACCTAGTAGAAAAGTAAAATCCTGGCTTGGTGCCTGTAGCTCAAAGCACCAGCTAAAGCATCAGCCACATACACCGGAGCTCGTGGATTCGAATCCAGCCCAGGTCCACCCAACAACAATGACAACTACAACCAAAAAATAGCCAGGCGTTGTGGTGGGCACCTGTAGTCCCAGCTACTTGGGAGGCTGAGGCAAGAGAACCTGAGGCAAGAGTTAACCTCTAATGGTTTTTATATTTCAATCCTTTTATCTATGTATTTACAAACATATTTATATTGTCATTACATTATAACACGTATGCATTTCTATTCCTATATACAGTGTTAGAAACATTGAAACTATACATACTGCTTTTTTTTGTAGAGACAGAGTCTCACTTTATTGCCCTGGATAGAGTGCTATGGCGTCACAGGTCACAGCAACCTCCAGTTCCCGGGCTTAGGTGATTCTCTTGCCTCAGCCTCCTGAGTAGCTGGGCCTACAGGTGCTCACCACAATGCCTGGCTATTTTTTTTGTTGTTGCAGTTTGGCCAGAGCTGGGTTTGAACCCATCACCCTCAGTATATGGGGCCAGTGCCCTACCCACTGAGCCACAGGCGCCACCCTGCTTTTTTTTTTTTTTAAGACAGAGCCTCAAGTTGTCACCCTGGGTAGAGGGCTGTAGCGTCATAGCTCACAGCAACCTCAAACTCTTGGGCTTAAGCGATTCTCTTGCCTCAGCCTCCCAAGTAGCTGGGACTATAGGTGTGCGCCATAACACCTGGCTATTTTTCTGTTGTTGTTGCAGTTGTTGTTGTTTTAGCTGGTCCGGGCCAGGTACAAACCCACCAGCCTGGGTGTATGTGGCCAGTGCCCTACCCACTCAGCTACAGGCACTGCCCTCATTTTCTTTCTTATGCTCTGGTCACTCTTTTGTGACCTCCTCCTCTGAAATTTCTCTTAAATCTGAGAGTTTTCTGGGCTCTATTCTAGGCCCTTTCCTTTTCATTTTACACTTTGTTCCTTAGTGACCTTTTCCACTCTGCAGACTCAGGTTGCCGTCTTTACACTGAAAGCACATAACTCTATATCTCTAGCTCAGATATCACTGCTGTACCTAGGTAAGTGCACATTCACAATCTTCACGTAAACTCACTTTCACTCGTAAAAGCTTACCTGCTGCTTTACCAAGTTGTTTAAGCAGGGCTCTGCTTAAGTAATTCTTAATTCTTCCCTTTCTCTTATCTTTTGTATTCCAATCAATCACCACTGGATAACTTATTCTCTAGGCCTGTGATACACTTTCAGTTTGTAGATGTTTCTTTTTCATTTTCCTGGGGATTCCCTTTACCTCTCAGTTATGTTGGACCTCTTGTTTCTTGGCTTCGTCTTCTTCTGTCATGGCTTATGCCTTCATTTGGTGGACCATACCCTGCAGTATCTTCCTGAGAAAAGGGTTCATCAAAGTAATTTTTAGAGACTCTTATCACTGAAAATGTTTTTATTCTTCTTCTTCTTTTTTTTTTTTTCTTTGAGACAGAGTCTCAAGCTGTCGCCCTGGGTAGAGCGCTGTGGCGTCACAGCTCACAGCAACCTCAAACTCTTGGGTTTAAGCAATTCTCTTGTCTCAGCCTCCCAAGTAGCTGGGACTACAGGCGCCCGCCACAACACCTGGCTATTTTTTGGTTGTAGTTGTCATCATTGTTTGGCAGGGCCAGGCTGGATTCGAACCTGCCAGCTCTGGTGTATATAGCTGGCGCCCTAACCGCTTGAGCTACAGGCACTGAGCCTGAAAATGTTTTTATTCTAACCCAAATATTTTATTGAGAACATGGACAGGTACGGAATTCTAGGCGGGAAATAATTTCCGCCTGGAATTTTGAGGCATTGCTTCATTATCGTTCTGCTTCTAGAGTTGCTTCTGATATTTGCAGTGCCATTCTAATTTTTGATCCTTTGTCTGAAATCTGTTTCTTTTTTCTTTGGAAGCTTACAGGATCTTTTGACCTCAGTATTCTGAAATTTTATGATGTGCCATGATATGGGTATATTTTAATTCACTGTTAAGCATTAGTGGGCCTTTTTCCCCTTAACTTAAAAAGAAAATTGTAGGGAGGCTTTCCAATTGGATTCCCCTCCTCCGCTGCTGGAGTTTCTATTCGACCTCTTCTGCTTATCATGCTTATTAATCTTTCTCCCTGTCAAGAAACTGTATCCTGTCACTTAAAAAATTGTGAAATATAATACATACAAAGAAAAGATACATATTCCATAAGTCCATAAACATATAAACATATAGTTTAATGAAATTATACCATAGAACTGCCACTCATAAAAGAAACAGCACCTTCAGTGGGCATTTGCAATCTAAGTTCTCCAATTTTCTCCAATTATGTCTTTGATAATTTCTTCCCATACCCTGTTTCCTCCATTCTCACTCTTTGGTTTTTTTTTGTTTTTTTTTTTTTTTTTGCAGTTTTTGGCCAAGGCTGGATTTGAACCCACCACCTCCAGTATATGGGGCTGGTGCCCTACCCCTTTGAGCCACAGGCACTGCCCTCTCTAGTATTTTTTTAGTCAAATGTTGGGCTTCCTGGACTGATCCTCTGATTTTCTTTATCTTTTCTATTTTCAGTTTCTTTGTCTTCTTGCTTTGCTTTCTGAGAAATTTTCTCAACGATATAGTTTTGTTTGTTTGTTTTGAGACAAGGTCTCAAGCTGCTGCCCTGGGTAGAGTGCCGTGGCATCATAGCTCATAGAAACTTCCAACTCTTGAGTTCAAGAGATCTCTTGCCTCAGTTTTTCTATTTTTAGTAGAGAGAGGGTCTCACTTTTGCTCAGGCTGGTCTTGAACCTGTGAGCTCAAGCAGTCCACCTGCCTAAGCCTCCCAGAGTATTAGGATTACAGGTGTGAGCCACCTGCTCCAGGGCCCTCAACTTTATAGTTTTTGCAATCATATTTTGAATTTCAAAGTATCATATCTGAATATTCTTTTCTTTTCTTTTTTTCTTTTGAGACAGAGTCTCACTACGTCACCCTCAGTAGAGTGATGTGATGTCACAGCTCACAGCAATCTCCAACTCTTGGGCTTAAGCAATTCTCTTGCCTCAGCCTCCCAACCAGCGGGGACTACAGGTGCCCACGACAACACTCAGCTATTTTTTGTTGCAGTTGTCACTGTTATTTAGCAGGCCTGGGCTGGGTTCAAACCCGTCAGCTTCAGTGTGTGTGGCTGGTGCCCTAACCACTGAGTTATGGGTGCCAAGTCTGAATATTCTTTTCTTTTTTTTTGAGACAGAGCCTCAAGTTGTCCCCCTGGGTAGAGTGATATGGCATCACAGCTCACAGCAACCTCCAACTCCTGGGCTCAAGAGAGTCTCCTGCCTCAGCCTCCCAAGTAGCTGGGACTACAGGAGCCCACCACAATGCCTGGCTATTTTTTGGTTGCAGCCATCATTGTTGTTTGGTGGGCCTGGGCTGGATTTGAACCTGCCACCTTAGATGTATGTAGCTGGTGCCTTAGCCACTTGAGCCACAGGTGCCGAGCCCAAGTTGTTTTCTGATCTTTTATTTTGGTCTCTATCATTCATTTTAGAAGCTTTCTTCAAATATGTGATGAAGCTTGACTATTTGCTCATATTTAAGATCTTGGTTACTAAGAACTTGCCTGGAAACTGCTACTGTGAACTTTACTATAGAGTGATTTGGTCAGCTGTTTCCTTGGGAAGCCCTGGATATTGGTTAACTTTTTTTTTTTGAGACAGAATTTCACTACATTGCCCTTGGTAGAGTGCTGTGGCATCAGATCTCACAGCAACCTCAAACTCTTGGGCTTAAGTGATTCTCTTAACTCAGCCTCCCAAGTAGCTGAGACTACAGGCACCCACCACAATGCCTGACAATTTTTTTGTTGTAGTTGTCATTGTTGTTTAGCAGGTTCGGGGCTGGGTTTGAACCCGCCAGCCCCAGTGTATGTGGCTGGCGCCCTAACTATTCAGCTATGGCACCAAGCTGATATTGGTTATCTTTCTTTCCTTTTTTTTTTTGAGACAGAGCCTCAAGCTGTTGCCCTGGGTAGAGTGCCATAGCATCATAGCTCACAGCAAACTCCAACTCCTAGGCTCAAGTGATTCTTTTGCCTCCACCTCCCAGGCAGCTGGGACTATAGGCACCTGCCACAAATTTTTGTTGCTGTAGTTGTGGTTGTCATTGTTGTTTAGCAGGCCCGAGCTGGGTTCAAACCCGCCAGCCCCAGTGCCTGTGGCTGGTGCTCTAACCAATTAGCTACGCACACCAAGCCCAGCTTTTTTTTTTTTAGAGACTGGGGTCTTGCTCTTGCTCAGGCTGGACTTAAACCTGTTAACTCAGGCATTTCCCCACCCCCCTCCCTGGCCTCCCAGAGTGCTAGGATTACAGGTGTGAGCCACCTTGCCTAGCCTTGTATACTCTATTTTGAACTGTTTTTCTATTTCCAAGCCATAATAATCAACTGTAGTGTGCAGTACATAGGTAGGTTTTGTCATCTCTCTGGTAGGGCAAGTTTCCTTCATATTATTTTTCAGAATAATTTTAACTCTTCTTAAATATATAATCTTTTTTTTGAGACAGAGCCTCAAGCTGTCCCCTTGGTCGGGTTGTCTTGGTTTCCTGCTCACAGCAATCTCCAACTCCTGGGCTCAAGCGAGTCTCCTGCCTCAGCCTCCCAAGTAGCTGGGACCACAGGTGCCTGCCACAACACCTGGCTATTTTTGGGTTGCAGCCATTATTGTTGTTTGGCGGGCCCGGGCTAGGGATTCGAACCCGCCACCTTAGGTGTATGGGGTTGGCGCCTTAGCCACTTGAGCCACAGGCGCCGAGCCAATATATAATCGTTTATGTGCACTTCAAAAAGCAACAAATGTAATACATATTTGTGGTAAAAAGCATATCACTGAAGTATACTAGTAAAAAGTGAAGGCTCAGTGCCTGTGGCTCAAGTGGCTAAGGCGCCAGCCACATACACCTAAGGTGGTGGGTTCGAATCCAGCCCGGACTGGCCAAACGACAATGACAGCTGCAACCAAAAAATAGCCAGGCGTTGTGGCCGGCGCCTGTGGTCCCAGCTACTTGGGAGGCAGAGGCAGGAGACTCGCTTGAGCCCAGGAGTTGGAGGTTGCTGTGCTGTGATGCCCTGGCATTCTACCCAGGGCGACAGCTTGAGGCTCTATCTCAAAAAGAAAAAAAAAAAGTGAAAATATATTCTTCCTCATTCCACTTCCAAAGATAACTGTTATTAATATTTGCCATGGGCCAACTGCAGTGATTGACACCTGTAGTCCTAGCACTTTGGGAGGCTGAAGCAAGATGATTTCTTGAAGCCAGAAGTTCAAGACCAGCCTGAGCAACATAAAGGGACTGTCCTCATAAAAAAAAAAAAAAAAAAGAAAGAAAGAAAAATCAGTTGGGTGTGGTGGTAGTCCCAGCTACTCAGAAGGCTAAGTCAGGAAGACTGCTTGAGCCCAAGGGTTTGAGGCTACAATGATCTATGATCATGCTACTGCCCTCTAGTCTTGGTGATAGAGTAAGACTCTTATCTCTAAGAGAAAAAAAAAGAGCTCTTCTGTAAGAGTTGAGGCTCGTTTTTTTCTGTGTAGATCTCTGTTCTAGTGCTATTTATTGAAAAGACTATTATTCCCAATCTCCAAAATAATATTTTCTGTGACAAATTAACTTGAAAACAAATAGGTTACTTTTGTTGTTGTTTTGTTTTTAAGGCAGGGTCTTACCTCTGTTGCCCAGCTAGAATACAGTGGCATCATCATAGCTCACTGTAACCTCCAACTCCTGGGCTCAAGTGATCCTCCTGCTTGAGCCTCCCAAGTAGCTGGGACTATAGGCTTGTACCGCTAAAGCTGACTGATTTTTATATCTTTTGTAGAGACCGGCTTTTGCTCTTGCAGGTTGGTCTTGAACTCCTGACCTCAAGCAATCTTCCCACCTCAGACTCTCAAGGTTTGAGGATTACAGATGTGAGCCACTGTGCCTGGCTAGGCTATAGTTTCAATATTAAATCACTAAGTAGGATGTTTGATCTTGGTTTCTGGTACTATTTATCAAGTTTAAAAGTTCCTTCCTAAATGAAGGAGTGATAGACTATCATCAATTTGCAACCTCTTATGAAATAATGTATCTAGGCAACATTACATGAACATTGTAATGTAGATACATTAGATACATAGAAAATGTTGATGGGGAAACTTTACAATGAATGCATCAGGCTGAATCTACTAATCAATATTAACACAGCAAAAAGAGACACAGTGTGTTTTGGATGGAAATAGATACTGATGAAGTACTCTTGTTAAATAAACCTGAAATTGAGGTTCTCTTTGTTAAATAAACCTGAATTCAGAGACTGAATTTTCAAGTCTCTAGATAAAATTACCTTTTTACAGAGAATTAAAGTGATAGGAAAATGTTAACTGGATCATGCCTTTAGTGTACAACTATAAAGTCATTGCTAAAACCAAAGTCATCTAGATTTTCCCCCAGGAGTTTTATAGTTTTTCATTTTACCTTTAGATTTATGAAACATTTTGACTTAGTTTTTGTAAAGTGTCTATGTCTAGCTTCATTTGTGTGTGTGTGTGTGTGTGTGTGTGTGGAAATCCAGTTTCTCCAGCACCATTTGTGAAAAGATTACCTTTTCTCCATTATTGCTTTTGCTTCTTTGTCAAAGACTATTGGGACCAGCCCTAAACTATGCTGTGGCTCAAGTGGCTAAGGCGCCAGCCAGCTACACCTAAGGTGGTGGGTTTGAATCCAGCCTAGGCCCGCCAAACAACAATGATGACTGCAACCAAAAAATAGCTGGGTATTGTGGTGGGCACCTGTAGTCCCAGCTATTTGGGAGGCTGAGGCAGGAGACTCGCTTGAGCCCAGGAGTTGGACGTTACTGTGAACTGTGATGCCACGGCACTCTACCCAGGGGGACAGCTTGAGGCTCTGCCTCAAAAAAAAAAAAAAATTAATAAGCCTTCTATGAACATTCACATATCGGTTTTTTGTGTGAATATAAGTTTTAGTTTCTCTGGGATAAATGCCTAGAAGTGTAGTAGTTATTGAGTCATATGGGAGTTGCATGTCTATTTTTTCTTTCTTTTTTTATTTTCTGCCCAAATGCATTGCTGGCTAAGCTTGTTTACTTTTTTAAGAAACTGCCAATCTGTTTTTCAGAATACTACCAACCAAATATTATTGTGGTAAGTATGACCCAGTTCTTTTGCATCCTCTCTGGCATTCAGTGGTGTCACTAATTTTTATTTTACCATTATCTCTGTAGATTAATTAATAGAGAACATCTTTATTTTTTGAATCTTCCTATTCAGGAATACAATGTCTCTCCATTTATTTAGATCATTTTTATTTCATCAGCATTTCATAGTTTTCATCATGCAAGTCCTATACATGTTTTATTTATTATATTTACCCCTATGTATCCCAATTGGGAGTGACTATAAATGAAACTACAGGGTTTTGGTTTTTTTTTTTTTGATTCTCAAGAAAGGGAGTCACAGCTCACAGCAACCTCCAACTCTTGGGCTAAAGCGATTCTCTTGCCTCAGCCTCCTAAATAGCTGGGACTACAGGCGCCCACCACAATGCCCAGCTATTTTTTTGTTTGTTTGTTTTGTTTTTTGCAGTTGTCATTGTTGTTCAACAGGCCCAAGCTGGGTTTGAACCCTCCAGCCTGGGTGCATGTTGCCAGCACCCTAACCACTGAGCTATGGGCGCTGAGCCTAAAACTGCATTTTTAATTTTGGTGACATGTTCATTGCTAGTACAGATAAACACAATTGACTATTGTATATTTATTTTGTGTACTGCACTCTTGATGAATTCATTAGTCCTAAGAGGTTTTTAAAATAAATTCCTTGGGATATTCTATAAAGACAATCTATAGGGGAGGGGGGTGAATGGGTGGAGGGAGGGTGATTTGAGGGATCACCTCTATGGTTTATCTTACAAGGGTACAAGTGAATCTTTCTAAAAGTAAATTATAAACATCTTAACACAATAACTAAGAATATGACATGAAGACTATGTTAACCAGTTTGATGACTATATTTCAAATTGTATATGAAAATACCACACTGTACCCCATGATTGCATTAGTGTACATAGCTATCATATAATTTTAAAAAAGACAATTTATAAATAGGGACAGTTTCATTCCTTTCTTTCCAATCTCCATGCATTTTAATTTCTTTTTCTTGCCTTACTGTGCTAGCTGGAACTTCTGGTACTATGTCAAGTAAGAAGATGAAAGCAGATATCCTTGCCTTACTCCTAATCTTTTCTTTTTTAATTTTTTTTTTTTCAGTTTTTGCCCAGGGCTGGGTTTGAACCTGCCACCTCCAGCATATGGGGCCGGTGCCCTTCTCCTTGAGCCACAGGTGCCACCCTCCTAATCTTTTTTTTTTTTATTTTTTTGAGACAGTCTTGTTATGTTGCCCCAGCTGGTCTCAAACTAGTGAGTGATCTTCCCACCTCAGCACCTCCTGAGTAGCTGAGACTACAAGTGTGCTCATTTCTTCTGATTTTTTGAAAAATATAAAAATCTGTCTTTTTTTGTTTTTAAACTTAAATTATACTATAGAATAATACTGAATATTGCCCCATTTTGCTTGCATATTAACTTCTACATTTTTTTCTATACAGCTAAAGATTTTCTCTAATACACTTAAAAGTGATTAGATCTTTTCTTTGTGTAATGCCCAGGATCCTCTTACATATGTTCTTTCTAAATTCAAGGAAAATAAACTTAAAAAGGTATCAATGTCAATGTTATTTATTTATTTATTTTTTTTTTTGAGACAGAGCCTCAAGCTGTCCCCCTGGGTAGAGTGCCGTGGCATTACAGCTCACAGCAACCTCCAACTCCTGGGCTCAAGCGAGTCTCCTGCCTCCGCCTCCCAAGTAGCTGGGACCACAGGCGCCCGCCACAACGCCCGGCTATTTTTTTGGTTGCAGCCGTCATTGTTGTTTGGTGGGTCCGGGCTGGGGATTCGAACCCGCCACCTTAGGTGTACGTGGCTGGCGCCTTAGCCGGTTGAGCCACAGGCGCCGAGCCCAATGTCAATGTTATAATCATTATCTAATTACAAATTCCTCTCTAAATGCACTTAGAGAAATGTGCATGGTGTGAAAAATCATCGTAAGTACAATTAAATCCACATATCAAACAGTTCTAGCAGAATTCCTACTTTAACTATGAGTTTTAATTAGCTTAGTATTCCAAGTGGAGGAAAATTTTCTTTAAAGGAAGCATTTAACAGCTAAATAAGATATATTGAACAGACATTAAAAAGTAACAGTATTTTTTTTCACCCCAGGTCTTTCCCTTGGTTTGATCTGACTACTGTGCAACTCAAGGAAACTCCCTTTAGCCAGCATCTCTCAGCCAGTACTGTTCTCCAACAACACCTTACCTATAGATACTATGATTCATTTGGCATCTCCCTGACCCAAGTGTAGCCAGTGGTTTCCACAGGCTCTTCATCCCAATAAAAGAACTTAGGAAATCAGAACTTTTTATTTCCCCTCATAGATTTTCTTTACAGTGGTTGTGCCATGATTATCATAATTGACAGTAGGAGTCATTTGACTGTATTGTGTTTGCCACATGTTGATGGCTCTTCAAAATGTAGAATAAAACAAGAGGTCCTATACATCAGTGTGTATCTGGCTTTCAGAAGCAACTCATGAAACTGTGTAACCTAACACATTTAAGTAAGCTGCTTTCCCAGAAAATCCTTGTTTTTTGTTTGTTTGTAGCTGAATCTCTCTCTGTTGCCTGGGCTAGAGTGCTGTGGCATCAGCCTAGCTTACAGCAACCTTAAACTCGTGGGTTCAAATCCTCCTGCCTCAGCCTCCCTAGGAGCTGGGACTACAGGCACCTGCTACAACTCCTGGCTAATTTTTCTATTTTTAGTAGAGAGGGAGTCTTGCTCTTGCTCAAGCTGGTCCCAAACTCTTAAAATCAAGCAATCTTCTGGCCTCAGCCTCCCAGAGTGCTAGAATTACAGGCATAAGCCACTGTGCTCAGCTGAAAATCCTTATTAATACAAATTATTTCTTAAAGAAGGAGGGAGAAGTGGGGGAAAGGAAGAGCAGAGAGAGGGAAGGAGGGAGGGGGTGGGGTCTTGGTGTGAGACACACCTTCTGGGGGCAAGACATAATTGTAAGAGAGACTTTACCTAACAAATGCAATTCTTGTACCCTCAATGAACCCCCAACAATTAAAAAAAACCAAATTATTTCTCTTCTAAAAGCTAAATTAAAGCAGTTATACTGTCATTATTATACATATACATACTACAGCTTCTTTTCTATCAGTCAAATTCCAAACTCATTGTCAAATTCTAACCAGTTTGCCAGCAGTATATAGCTGGCAATGACACAACTTGATTTTCCTACAATTTTGGGTAGAGAAGTAAATATAAAGTAAACAATCTTAATTAAATCATGATGCATTTCATGCTTATTTAGGCTATATATGATAGTTCTAATACCATATTATTTAAAGCTGTTGTCATTTAAACCATTTAAAACCATAAACCTTTTAAAAAATAACTGACATTTATATTAAATAGCTAAAAATAACTTTTCAAAATATAGTTCTTCTATAGCACACAATTATTTCCTATATGTTATGAAAACACTTTTTGTCTATAATTTTTTTTTCAAAGAGACAAGAGTCTCACTTTATTGCCCTCAGTAGAGAGCTACGGCATCACAGCTCACAGCAACTTCCAGCTCTTGGGCTTAGGAAATTCTCTTAGGCAATTCTCCCACCACAGCACCCAGCTATTTTTTGTTGCAGTTTGGCCGGGGCCAGGTTTGAACCTGCCACCCTCAGCATATGGGGCTGGCACCCTACTCACTGAGCTACAGGCGCCACCCCACTTTTTGTCTATAATAATAGAGTTTAAAACAAGAGTAGTGACCCTATCAAGTTGGGAAAGGATGGGACTTACTATGCTTTGTCACCAAATAGAACTACTGTTTGCTAAATGTTAAAGTGCTTTTGAAGAAAATTATTCACTATACATCTAAATCACCATGGTCTTAGATTAATCATTTACATTTTGGGTTTTTTTCCCTTTTGCTTAATTACATTTTTGTTTTTTTGCGTAATTGTGAGCCAGGCAAAACAATGGTATTGTGTTACCATGGTTTCCAATTAAATATGATTCCAATTTGGGAAAAAATTAGGTTCATCATTAAATATTAACACTTGGCATGAGTATTAATTCAAGAACTGTTCCTTCAATCAGTAGGGGAAAAAAAAGAAACATTCCTTTTATTAATCATTTAGGTATTGGAACCTGGACAAGGCGCATCACTGCCCTTCTTGGATTGTGTTAGCCCTACAGTGGCTTTTTGGGTTAAGAAAGGAGAGCAGGAGGAGAAAGAACAGCTAAGTCTGTAAAACTAGAGGGGAACTGAAGTCATTCATGCAACAAGAAATATTTTATAATTTCTCTTGAGGAGTCTGGTCATGGATAGGCAGACTCTAACCTAAACTTTATTTGATAAAAGTCTGGAAGGAACCCATTAAAGAGCCTTGTAAGCAAATTCCAACACTATTTCATGGTCAGTAGTACTTCTATAAGCCCTATTGGGTTCTGTTTTGTTGGTTTGTTTTTTATTGTTTCAGGTTCACTGAGGTTACAAAGAATTAGATTACACTGTTTGCATTTGTCAGGTGAAGTCCCTCTTATAGTTGTGCCCCATCCTCAACAGATGTGCCATACACCATAACCCCCCATCTCCCTCCCTCCTACCCTCTCCCTACCCTCTCCCTTATTCTCCTGTTCCCCACTTTGAATTGATTTGAGTTTTTCACTTGTGTGAGTATGTATTAAACTGTCTATTGGCTTCATATTAGAATTGACTACATTGGATTCTTGCTTCTCCATTCTTGTGATACTTTTTTTTTGAGACAGAGCCTCAAGCTGTCCCCCTGGGTAGAGGGCCGTGGCATCACAGCTCACAGCAACCTCCAACTCCTGGGCTCAAGAGAGTCTCCTGCCTCAGCCTCCCAAGTAGCTGGGACCACAGGTGCCCGCCACAACGCCCGGCTATTTTTTGGTTGCAGCTGTCATTGTTGTTTTGGCGGGCCCGGGCTGGATTTGAACCTGCCACCTTAGGTGTATGTGGCTGGCACCTTAGCCACTTGAGTCACAGGTGCCAAGCCAATTCTTGTGATACTTTAAGAAGAATGTGTCCCAACTCTATTCAGGTTAATACAAAAGATGTAAAATCTCCATCTTTTTTAATGGCTGAATAGTATTCCATGGCATACATATGCTATAGCTTGTTAATCCATTCCTAGGTTGGTGGGTATTTAGGTTGTTTCCACATTTTGACGATTGTAAATTGAGCTTCCATAAACAATCTAGTGCAAATGTCCTTATAATAAAATGATTTTTTTCTTCTGGGTAGATGCCTAGTAATGGGATTGCAGGATCAAATGGGAGTTCTAATTTATGTTCTTTGAGGATTCTCCATATTTCCTTCCAAAAAGGCTGTATTAGTTTGCAGTCCCATGTTTGTTTGTTTTGAGACAGAATTTCACTCTGTCACCCTGGGTAGAGTGCCATGGTGTCAGCCTAGTTCACAGCAACCTCAAATTCCTACACTCCTAAGAGATCCTCCTGTCTCAGCCTCTCTAGTAGCTGGAACTACAGGCACCTGCCAAAACGTCCAGCTAATTTTTCTATTTTTTAGTAGAAATGGACTCTTGCTCTTGCTCAGCTGGTCTCTTTAACTCCTGAGCTCAAGCAATCCTCCTGCCTCTGGCTTTTTGGTATCATTTTCTATGATACCAAAAAGGAAAGAGAACTTTTCCATGCTTTTCTCTCAAAACACTTCCTTTAGAGAACTTGTTATAAATTCTTTTTCTGTGCCTTTTAGATGTACGTAAATCTTTTGAAATGCTGAATAAACCTCTTGCCCTTGTATACCCCCAAACAAGTCTCTTTTTTTGGTAGTCCTGGAGCCATCGCTTTGAAATATGAGCACTGAGGAGGAATGGCCCTGTCTTCCCTTCTCTGAGGGGATTTAACCTTGGTTTCTGGTTCCAAGTATGTAACTTCTGGTTTGTGGTCAAAATCTGAGTTTTATTTTTCTTTTGGATACAGATAATTAATATGTATGTGTAAAGAATTATACAGAGTGTCCATCAAATTCATGTGCAACTTAAAATAGCAAATTTTGCATCAGACAGGTGTTGTGCCCAGATCATGTAGTTCCCAAAGACCACCAAGAGCCAAGTCTGATGCAAAAGCAAAAGGGCCTTTATTGCAGCAAGCTTGAGCTTGGACTCCTGGGAGCTCCACTGCAACGGATCCTGGCCGAGAGCCACGAGCTCTGGGGCGGGGGTGGGGGGGTGGGAGGTAGAGGGGTGGGGTGGTGGGGTGGTGGTGGTTATGGGGTTGGGATCGTAGGTGGGGTTTGGGGAAAAAGATCTGAGTATGGGGCGGTGCAGGATTGGGCACTAGTGGCTCAGTGGTCTGATTACAAGGTGTGTTCTGATTGGGTGGTAGGAATCATGCGATTATGGGGAAATACCTGGTGGGAAACGGAAACTTATTTCTCAGGATGGTGGGAGCTGCCTAAAATGGCGTTTGTCTGGTTCTCTCATTCCCCTCTTGACTTGTGAATATCTGGGCCCAATCATGGGGCTGTTTCTATGGTTGTCATTTCTATCTCATTATTTGAAAGTGGCTGGTATTGATTGTATTGACTTCTCAGTACTAATAACTATACTGCTTCTACTTTTTCCCCCTGCACAAATGCAATGAGTTTATCAATTATGCAAGGGCCTACAGTTAGGAGTAGAAGTAATAAAATTAAAGGGTCTGCCAAAGCTGTTATTAAAGTAGTCAACCAAGGAGACCAATTAAAAAGAGATTCATACCAACTCTGTTCTTTTTCTCTTTTTTTTTTTTTCTTTTCTTTTTCTCTTTTTAGCTTGCATTTATGCAGGCTTTCTTGTACGAGGACCATTGATTCTTCTACTACTCCTGAATGATCAGCATAGAAGCAACATTCTTCTCCTAAGGCGGCACAGAGTCCGCCTTGTTGGAGAAACAGTAAGTCAAGACCGCTGTGGTTTTGTAACACTACTTCTGACAAAGACGTCAGAGAATCTTGAAGAAGTGTTACAGATTTTTCCAGTCTTTCTATGTCTACATCTATGGCTGCTCACAGGGCATCATAGTTCTTGTCCTGGAGAACCAGGGCAGATACTTCAGTACCTGCTCCTGCCACTCCTAGTCTTAAAAGAGTGGCTATGGTGAGGGCTGTGGCAATTTCCCGTTTCTGGCGAGGTAGGTCTGGGTCTAGGAATCTTTGGAATACCACATCACCTTTATAATAAATTAATCTGGGCACCAACTGTACTAAAACACAATAATCTTGGCTTTGGTTTAAAACACCTGAATGTATACAGGGAGCTAATCCAGTGG